AAACCAAAAATCAAGCAAACTAATTAAGTATACTTTTTTTTGGATTCTTACACACAAGATTAGAATGCACTGTTTCATCATATTTTAGGCCTTAAACCCAATTAAGTTTCACATGGTTCAGTCAACTTAGGAAATTTTGGTTAGTCCTAAGTATATATCCATAGTTAACAATGCACAACCTCTATAATAAAAAACATTATACTAAAAAATGTTAAGAAATAATAAAACTAGATATTTTAGACATTCTAACCAATATCAGTAATAATAAAAGTAAAAAATGACTAGTGAAAACTAAAAAGAAGTAAAATAACTCAGTAATAGGGTTTCCTTTGGCTTTTAGTTTGTTTTTTGCCATTACTTGGCCAAATGAATTTTTTTTGTCACTTTACATTGTTTTAAACCACAAATGTTTAAGTTTATGATGAAAATTTTCCAAATTCAAGTGAGAATAATTATCCTAATTCTATCTCAACAATCTTTAACTCAAAAGTATTTTACAATCACTGTTTTGTCATTTTATAACATATGTTTAGCATAATCCACAGAAAAAAATTAATAAATTTCAAACTGTACAAAATAGTGAGAAACCTGGTTATTACAGTTTCATCCAGATAAATGTCAAATGTGAACTAGAGGAAACACATTTGAATCTTCCAGTTGAGGTGATGAAAATCACGCAAGTATTACAGGGAGAAAAAAAAACACTGATGTTGTAATCATTAAATATATATATACAAGGTTAAGTTTAACAAAGTTAATAATTTGGCCTAATAAGAATACCACCCATCAATCTAGACCACTACAACTTACTTTAAAAACCACTGACAGGTCCACACCTGGAATACGTACACAACATATGGAACCACATAACATTTAAATGTTCAGTGACAAGCCACAAAACAAAATTCAAGTGTCAAAAATGTAATCAACAAAGAAACTTTACAACTAGGCTAACCTACATTTAAATATAGATGTCTGAGGGAAGGTGGAGAACACAATAAAGGCCTATACAATTATCACTGGTGTATACAATAAAAGTGTAACTGAAGCAGTAATTAATTCAACAAATACTAGGGATTATCTTAACCCTAACTTTATGGCTTGGGTGGCATCCACCCAGCTTGTAACCATGAAAATATCCATGAGAGTAATTATACTTTGATTTTTGATAATGTATGTGTATCTTTACAAAACTTTGCCCATTATTAGTAAACATTACAAGGCTTTCGTAGGTAAAATTTCAGATTTTTAAATTAAGTTTTAATATTTCTTAAATAATGTTTTTATTGTGCCTTCTTTCTTTTTGAATGTTAACTATCCAGCATGCAAAGCAATTTTGATTTTAAAAAATACTTTTATGCATCAGAATATTTCCAAATTTCACATGCAAAATTTTTATAATGTCCAGATAATTATCATGTTTTTTTAAAGAAAAACTAAATACTTTATCTGTTATTTTCACTACTTTATCTTTGTTTTGGTTGGGTCAGTATGACCGAACCCATACCCATCATAA